TACAAGAATCTGGAGATATAGTTTCAATTTTTTTATTTATCTAATTGGGTTGAGGGTAAAATTACCTGGTTTCCGCCGTTGTCTTGCAGGTTTCATGATATTTGACTCTCCTTTACTGTTGCTACGGCTGACACCTACATTGTTATTACGCTTAAATGACCCTTTTCCAGGTCCTAATTTATGAATGTTTTGACCGTCTACAAGAAACAGTTTGACTGTACGAGCATCATGTCCTAAAGCCCTACTCTGATTTGCGACATTAGTTGGAGATGTAGGGGAACTATTCTCCCCTTGAGAGGGTCGTTTTCTCACAGTCTTCTTCCGGTCTTTCAAGAGTTGATGTTCCTTCATTGGGACAACAGTAGTCAGTTCAGAACAAGCATAAAATGTCACGTTCAACAAAAGGAAAGCAAAAAATGTGATACAAAAGATTCTTCTGACTAACCAATGCTTCAACAAAAATTTTAAATCTTCGTGGTTTTAGGTGAAGTTTTGAGGCTCTGCAGCTATACTTTTCCAGCAGAGACCACCTGTAAAAGAAGAGGTGCATTTTGAATTAAGAAAAAAAAATTGACCCTCTGTCACTGTAACTTTGTCATAACATGATACCATAATAACTCCTTAATTAGGTTTCTACTACTCATGCTTAAAACCGGCCATAAAGAAATGTTTGTATCATATGCCCTCAAAATGGAATATCAACCGATGGTTCAACATCATTATACGCCTAATATTCATCCCAGTTCAACAAATCTGCTCTCAATAGAAATAAATGAAGCATTACCAGCATAAAGTAGTTAGCATTGATGTAATAATGAATCCTCCACATAATATAATTGATTCTATCTGGGTTTTAAAAAGAAGGCAAAGCCTAAATTAGTTTTAGAATGAAGCAAAAGTTCCCAGCATTACCAGCGAAGCATTGCTGCATTAGTATCTTTAGAATTTTTGGCATCTAAACATAATCGCGGACCCAAAAGCTTGTTCATGCGCCTCACAAGACGATAGTAATAATGCCTGACCTACAAATTTCATAAAGGAAAAAGACGCACCAAAACATTAACAAGGGAATGTCCAACTTATATCAATAAACAATCAGAACAAATCTAGTAGCAGATCACCTGATCTTTGTTTTTACTTTGCACGCGACGTGTGATTTTTTCAAAATTCTGCAAGTGATGTACGTGTCAGGAAATATTATACATCTAAAAGTTAAAAGCCAAAACAAAAGTAACCTTGACATACCTTCCCAACTTGTCGTAATGCAGTGAAGAAACTCTCTTCCTCTTGACGTGTCCAAGCAGCCCATTTCCGGGTTGGCCTTTTAGCTGCGATAGATCAATTCATACAAAAAATAAAGGCACAATAACTATTTTCCATAGATGGCGATGATGCATCGACAGAAACAATGAAAATCATTATAAGGAGAATCAAAGCGCATTTACACATACCAGGTTTCTCCGGCGCGGTATTATTAGAGGTGGACAAGGCTACATCAGGAGTTCCAACTTGAATAGGAATATTATCTTGATATTGCGCCTCAGAGGGAAAGGAGACCAATGACTCTGTTTGCATGTTGATGGCATCACATGAAAACAAACACCTCCTCCCTCTTCAGATGTATATAAAATCAAGAAGCATTGTCACAAAGAATTAAGTTTAAGATCATATATAGAAAACCAGGAAAGACAGAATAAAGAAACACAAATCATAATATAATCATAATAAGCAGGCTAAAAGCACCTCAATAAAATGCAGTTAACCATAAATATCCCATCAAATACAAGAGATTCTTATTGAAAGATATGATCATGAATTTTATGGCTGCACAGAACCAATAAACAGCAGTATAATTTATGAATTTCACATGATCAGCTTCCTGTCATCTCCTATTGTGCTGTAAATTTTTACATCAATCAAAACATTTAAAAACATTTTCCTTTTGGTAAATGGTCAAAACAATTTCATATGTTAGTGGAACAAAAGCATATACCTAAAATTTTCCCTATTGGATCAGAAGCTTGTTGTCATATTTACAAACAAGAAACTGAAGATCAAACATGAAACTAAGTGAACACTAAGCACCCCTTGTATCATCCAATGTGAAATATCATCATCAATGTGTTTACATTTTAATACGAGCAAACGACTATTCGATTTTTCTGGTAAATTAAATTCTTCCTTCAAATTTATTTTTTCAATGAAAAATTATGCAGAACAAAATTAATTTACATTCAACAACAATGAAACTTAATGATCCATTTCAATTCATCACACGACCAATCTTCATAGAACGTCATACTAAAGCCTAAAACCATCCATTATTTATCTTGACAACATTTGAATTTCCTTATAAATAAACCCTAAAACCAACAAATTCCATCTCTGCACATGTCTGCTGAGTGCTGACAATAGAATTCAACAAAAACGAGAAAAATGTACAGCTTTAAAATATGCAGACTCAAAAAAGAGGGGGGGGGGAAGCCTGTATACTTGCTATGAAATGTGAGAACCCTAATAATACGAAAAATTCGAGCTTAATTTGTTTCAAGTGCAAGAGATCCAATAGAGCACGGAGAAGCTGAAGTCAACCGTGCAACTAATTGACCAAATTTAATTCCAGCTTTCAAAATCAAAATAAACTAAATACGAGAAATAAAACCATAAGAACATACAATAATTCAAATTTCACGAAAGCCAAACAAAAGCTAAGGTTTCGAATTAGAGTAAAAATTGATCGGCAAAAGCTTAATAACACAGAGACAAATAATAAAGAACAAAAGAAAAAAAAAGAAACTAAAGTTAATTTGAAGATACCTGAAATAGAAAAAGAGATTTGGAGGAACCGGGGAGCTCAAATTTTGAACGAAGGACAAAGGCTATTGACACCGGCGTAATCTTCCGGCAGAAATCTACGGTGGACAAAAACGATATTTTTCTTTATTTTTTAAAAATTCTTTTCACTTTGAAGAAAAACCAAAAATAAGTTTATCTGGTAAATTATTGAAATTTGGATTTTAATTTGGACCTTAAAGTTTATTTGGGTTTTTTTTTCCTAATATTATTCAAAAAGTAAAACCGGAATATTTTTTTATATACTTTTTCTTATTTATTAAATATTTTAATCAATAATTTTAAACACAAAACGCAAATACGAATATTTTAATCAATAATTAACACATTCTAATGAAAAAATAATAATACAGGCTAATAAATAAGAATATATTATATAAAAATTTATATTATAATAAATACTATATCATAGTATAATATAGACAAATTAACATGTGTAATCACGATGTAGTAGCGATAGGGCACATGGCGTGCCAAGAAGAAATTGGTATGGAGATTAAAAATCCATACATCTTAGTTTGGCTTAATACCAAAATAAGTGCCCAAACTATACTCATTTTCTAAAATAGGTGTCTAAACTAATTTCCGTCTCATCTAGGTACCAAACGTTACTAATTTAGTTGCTCGGGCCATCAACAACGTTAATTTAAGTAACACATGTCATAGTGATTTTGAAATTTATTTAAATATTACAAGTATTATGATATTTATAAAAAAAAACTAACTTTTCTTATATTATAAAACAACACCCAAAATCCCAAATTCTAACCTTAATCCGCCATCGTCGTCCTTTTCGACCATGACCACCACCACCAACATTATCTCTGCCATCCTTTTACTCATACACTGCCGTATTTTTCGTCGATTTACCGTTGGAATCGCAAATTTAATCCTAGGGTTCGGACGGTTTAAATCGTTGATTCATCGTCGATCGACCATCGATCGAGCATGATTTAATGGGGATTTTGGTCGCTGGGGGGAAGAAAGGTCAAGTGGAGCTTCGTCTACGGTTTAAAATTTTGAAAGTTTAAGTCCTAAAATGGACAAAAATTAATAGTTTATGTACTACATGCGTCAAGCTTTTACCAGTTAGGTACTAAAATTAAACAAAAACTAAACGTTATGCATAGTTTTGAAAAAAAAATTGAGAGTTTAGTACTAAAATGACTAAAACTAATAGTTTATGTACTAAACGTGTAGTTTACCCTAGTTTTTATTTCAATCTAAATATCTTTTAGGATAATAGAATGTTACTTTCTTGGGTCCTCAACTATTAAAAATTACAAAATGATCACCCGATTATTCATATATTCCAAACTCATCATTTTCCGTTAAAAATTGACAACCGTATGAGCCAATGGCGGACAAACAATTTGGTGAGGGTGAGCACGTGCTCACCCTGAATCCGAGTTTTATTCAATTAATTATCTATATTACTGATGGTACCCACCCTGAAATTTTATTTCTGCTCATCCCATTTAAAAAATGTGCGTGATTAGTACATGCGTGTCCACCCTAAAAATATTTCTAGTTCTGTCACTAATCTGATCCAGACGTTAACATGCTTATTAGAATATGATAAAATATGATCACAGAATCTCAAACAACTATCATATCCTAATTAGCATATTAACGTTCAACTCAGGCCATTGTTAATTTTTAACGGAAAAGGACGAGTTTAAAAAATGACTGTCCCTTTTTCCCATATATATGATGTAAGGACGAGTTTGAAACATATAAATAGTCAAATGATTTTTTTATAACTTTTAATAATATAGTGACTCAACAAAACAACACATTATAGTCAAATGATCATTTTATAACTTTTAATAGATAATGATCAAGTATATTTTCCTTTTGAAGCTGGTAATCCCTTAATAAAACCCATAGCAATTCCTTCAAAAGTATATATATTTACTTCTTAAAGATATTTTGAATTTAAATTTAAATTTTTACACTAATTTAATATATTGAAATTTAGTTTTATCTTATTTTTGTTAGAATTTTTAAATTAATATAATTTATTATAATCTACTAATAACACGTAAAATTATATTATTTTGTTGAAGCATCCTAGATAAAGCAGAGGAGAAAACTTCATCAGGGTCAACTGCACGTACCAGAGAAATGTTTTAAGAAGAAGAACAAAAATCTTCCTTAACATCCCATTTAACTGACGACGACAACGACTTGGCTACTTTATTCCTACGGGAAGAATACTATACATGCCGATATAGAATGAAGGTGGCTTCTCTAAGCGTTGTCTGATCAGACTGTCGGTTTCTTCTCGAATTCGGTGCCGGGATCATCGTCGGAAGGGAACACCTGTAGGCCGGTAACCATGGATTCTGGCGGACCACGACGACACCTCTGCTCCATCTCCTGAACAGAATCTGGGCTCCCGGAGAAAAGAGCTTCCACTGAGCCAGCCCTCTTGTTCCTAACCCAGCCTTTCAAGCCAAGCTCAGTGGCATTCTCTACTGTCCAGTTCCTATAGAACACACCCTGAACCATACCCTTTATCACAACCCTTATCTGCACCGTCAAAACTCAACAATTCATTACATCTGCTGTACTGAACGCAGGGATTTGAAACCCTAATTTGCACAATCAAATCAAGAGAGGGCAATTACTTGCGGGAAGTTAAAACTTTATAAGGGAATAACCATACTTAAACCTAAGGCTAGGAAGACCATATAACCCTAGCTTGCAAAAATTAAACCAATTAATTTAATACCACAGATAGACAGTCAAATGCCTCAAATGCACCAACAAATCAAGATAAGCTCATTATTTTTCTTTTACTTATTGACAACACGCACACAACCTGAAGAGTGCAAACACAATTACTCGAACCCAGATCATTAAGAAGAAAGAACAATATTCTTTATTTACCACTTATGTCACTCAATGGGACATAAAATTGGAGTAACATATAGACTTCAAACTTTTCAAGTATCTAAATTGCACAAACAAATCAAGAGATGGGCATTATTTAAACAAGCTTAAAACCATTGAAGAACCAACCAAAATGAACTCATTATCATCAGCAAAGAATGAAAAGAGGCATCATAATTAGCACAAAACTAACCCTAATATATGATTACTAATTCAAGATGGAACCAGAACAGCACACACATAATTAACAGAAATTTACAAGGGAGAACAAAACCCACCTTTCAGTCTCCATTACCAAACCCTAAAAGCCCAATTAATCCCAATTATAGGCACGATTCTGACTAGGTAAAATCAAGTCCTTTTTCACCAGTAACAGCATTAATCTCACTAAACTAATGTTTACTCGTAAAACAACCTAGACCCAATGTTTATTTAGTACCATCAATACATATGCCACTAAGGTTTAGATAAAATAGATAAAAAAAATCAACCCTGAAATCTGAGGTTGGTCAAAGGAATCAAAATTTCCCCATATGTCCCATATTCAAATAAATCGGATAAACTAAGTCAGGTTAAACTTATGGTGATTTGAGAACAACGTATACAGAATGTATGAACTTTCATTGTAAAATGCTTGAGAGTATTTCGAACGTATATTTTCTTATATTCATTCGGGTTAAATAAAACAATATAAACAAAATATATGAATCAGAGAGAGAAAGAGAGAGAGAAAGTCACCGTTTTAGTTTCGGAAGGCTGGGAGGAGTCACTTGCAGCAGCAGCAGCATCTTGAGGAGCGGCCATTGAAGTTAGAGAAGGTCGAAGAGGATGAAAACCAAGTGGGAACAAAGAAGGAAGAGGAGGGCGAGAAAGAGAAAGATGAGGGCAAAGCGGAAGAGAAGGACGAGGAGGAGGAGAGAAAGAATAAGGGAGAAAGGGGAATCTATGAGCAAGACAACTATTTGCATAGTGGATTTGGGAGCATTTTTGGGGTGTGGAAGAATGAAGCCTACTGGGGTTCCTGGTAACACTTGTTAGATGATCAATTAAGGTCAGGGATGGCGTTAGCGGTTGAGATGATCCCATTTTTGGTTTTGACTTTTCGAATGATTGGTTTTTATAGGTGGAGAATTCAACGTGAAGATTGGAAATTTTATTTTCTTGGGAGATGGATTTAATCTTTGAGTTCTATATCGTTTTTTTTATGTTGAGTAAATTACAAATTTCATCCTTCAACTTTACTTTTCTAATTTTCTCATTGAATTTAAAAAAAATTAATTTTCTCACTAAACTTAATGCTTTGGATTTTTTGTCACTGAACTTTATTTTCTCTCTTATTTTGGTCACTCCACCGTTAAATAGTTAACGGATACAAATGATATCGTTTTTAAAAAATAAAATTTTCACGAAAACGACGTTGTTTTGTATCTATATAATAGTCCATTTTAATGTTGATAACTAGTTAATGACTGATTGGCAAAAAAATCAATGTATTAAATTCAGTGAAGAAATTGAAAAGATTTAAAGTATAGTGAGTTAAATATGAGAGAGAATCAAGTTTGGTTACCAAATTTGTATTTTACCCTTTTATGTTTTATTTTCCCCAGAAAAAATAATTGTATTTTCATTGGTAAACTACACATTTAGTATTTAAGTCATCAATTCTAGTTCGTTTTAATATTTAAACTTTTAATTTTTTTTCAAAACCATACATTATGTTTAGTTTTCATTTCGTTAAAATACTCGTTGTTAAAAACTTAACACGTTTCATACCTAAACTATCAGTTTCGACTCATTTTAGTACCTAAATTTTCAATGGGTTCAAATTTTAACTTTAAATTTTGAATGGGGTACTAAAATGAATCAAAAACTAAAGTTTTTAACGACGTAATACTAAAATGAAACAAAAATTAAATTTTAAGTATGACTTTTAAAAATTAAAAATTTATATATTAAAATGGAATAAAATTGATAGTTTATGTACTAAACACATAATTATCCTTTTTTATTCACTTATGTAACACCCTAATCCAATATAACCTGAAGATTGATGGATTAGAATGTCACATGAGACCACCGAAGTGGCAAACCCAAAATTTTTCTTTAAATTTGATTTAAAAATCATCTGATAAAATCATACATGGTAAAATAAAATAGAACATGATAAATAAGTTTAGAAGTACAGGGGAGCTCCCAAATTTCCAAAATAATAAAATACTAAGTTTAAAACAAAATATAGTTATATCTTAATATAACGAGTCTATAATAGTACATGCCCTCTAAAATAATTCAAGATGTACTCTGATGCCTGGACTGGACTGGAACGATTGCCAACGATAATGCTCTATTCTTGACACTTAATGTAATGCCCCCATATCTGGGTTTAGAGTGTTAGGCTAACTCGAAATAAGCTTTGAATGGATTCCTTAACTCGTAGGAAACCTTAACCCAATAATAAGTGAAATTGGGCTTGTATTGAGCCCAATAGTGGATAAAAAAGGTATTTTTAGTTTGTAGTCAAAATCAGGAGGACTAATGGAGTAATTAGACCATTATTCAAAATTAAAACTGAAATCCTTTAATTGAAGATGATATCACTTCTATTTCTCTTCCTCATTTTCCCAACTCTCCTTTGTCATCTTCTTCTCCCAAAGTCTTTATATTTCTTCCTAGAAACTTGAGCAAATGTGGAAGCTTTAGTTTATTTCCAATTTATTTTTTTAAACCAAGGTAAGAACCACATTCTTCTCTTCCCAAACTTCATTTCAAGTCCACTCCTGCAAGGTTTGTTGATGGATGCAAAAAAATGGGTTTTTAGATGATTTACGAAATCCAGAGAATCGACTCTATTTTTAGTGATTTATAGCTTTATGAAGTGTTTTTAAACCCTTCTTAGCCTCTACATTAAGCTAGTAATTTATTCTTTGATTTTGGCTTAATGAGAGAAGTTAGTGAAAGCTCCAAAGCAAGGGGAAAGATAATCTCACCTATTATTGATTTTTGGATACTCTTAGCAGCTTAGAATCGTTAGGTAACTCATTTCTAACTTAACTCTACCACATGTAGTTCATCAAGTGAGTTTTGGTATGTTGCATAAGCTTGAAGCATGATCATGGTAGATTGTATCGTTGAAGTGTTTTCAGCATGTTTATGACTTCTTTATGACCCATTTTTATCAAATAAAACATTTAAACATCAATTGGGGACCTTAATAGGGCTTTTGGGGTAGAAATATAAGATTTTTGTGCCAAAACAATGCACTTCGTAGCAGGGGTATTGATATTGTGGTTCATCCAGGCAAAAGTTAATTTTTTAAGGGTAGTATCGATACTCAATCATAGAGTATCGATACCAAGGAAAGAGTATCGATACTCCCCATAGGGGTATCGATACTAGGGTATTTTTTAAAACATTGAATCTAAATTTGGTATTGATACTCATGCAAGTATCGATACCCCAGTACCAGAGTATCGATACTCAGCATAGAGTATCGATACTACCTCCCCAAATAGCTTCTATTAGTCATGGGGTATTAATACCAAAGGTTTAGTGTCGATACTGAAGGGTTAGTATCATACCCACAAACAATTTTGGATAATTAATCTGATGATTAAGGGATCAGACTCGAGGTACACCATATACCTTGAATAATAACGAATAAGACTTTCAGTGAGAACAATAACTAATAACAGAATAGTAGAATCAGTAACAACCAAGATTATATAAAACTAGCCTTGTTTGACACTCGGGAAACATTCAGGACACCTGAGTTCCTCTTAGCATAACACAACAGTCAGTGGATATTGAAGTCAGTGCCAAGACACTTTAGTAACCGACTGGGCACAGATGCCCAAAGATTCGTTGGAGTAAGTTGGCGGTTGTACATTTTCGATATAGATTTTGAATATCACCCTAGTGTACCCGAGGTTATACCAGCAGATGAGAGGGGTGTGTGAGCTCCGAGATGTAGAACCCTCAGTCGTACCATGATGTCAGCCATAACTTAGTAGTTTAGTTGTTGTATGTTTCAGACCAATTCCACTAGCCAATTCATTTAATAAATGAATGTAGTGTAGTACAATTATTAGTGAGACACTGAGCTCGTAAGCTCAGCGCTTAGAATGTGTTTCTATACGTAGGTTTTTAGGAAGTCGTTCGTGGGGAGTTATCGTCACAGACATTCTAGTGCAACATATCGTATTTTCAGAGGCCTTCAGAGTACGTCTTGAGTCATTCTTAGAGGATGTGTACTATTATAGACCCTTATATGTATTCAGTCGTAACTTTGTTTTGTACTCAATATTTTATCATTTTGTCTATACTTTGGGAGCTCCCCATATTTTGTAAACTCAGATTATCAGCATGTTTTATTTTACTTATTTTGGATGGATTTATAAGTGACTTCAAGTCAAGTCGGACTAGATTAGGGTGTTACACCTAAGAACCTGTGTACGAAAACACATTAACGTTGAGCTTATAAGTTCAGTGTCACACTAATAATTGTATTATACTACATGTATTCACTAAATGAGCATGCAAGTGGCATAGATATGAAGACATAGAAATATTGATCTAACATTCTGAAGTAGGCATCATGGTACGACTGAGGATTATGTATCTCGGAGTTCACACACCCCTCTAGCCTTTCTAAAATACCCTTGGGTATTTAGGTGAGATTCAAAGTTGCGAAATGTACACCCGCCAACTTACTCTGTCGAGTCTTGGGTTATCTGTGCCTAGTTGGCTACTGAAGTGTCTTGGCACTTTTAAAATTTTAGAAAGGGATAAACTTATAAAATTTTAGGAACATAAAACATATTTTTAATAAAAACTACATGATACTTTCAAATTTTTAGAAGAATGACTGCTCTTATCGTTCCCTCGATTCATCCCTGCCCACCATCGTCTTGTTAATTGTTACTATAATCTACAACCTTGAACAATGACGTTTTACCGCCAACATCTTTTCCCTTTAACAATTATCATTTTCATGGAACAACAAGAACTCCCTGATCAACAAACAACAACCCTTACATTTGTAGTAGTTGCCACCTCGTGGTTCCCGTACATATATTGAGTTTTCGACGTCTGATTGAGACATTTTAATATGCGCTAGAAAGATAATTAAAAGACAGTTAATACATAAGAAAACGTCTTAGCCCAAAAATACTCGGATCCCATCAAAAAATTTATCGTAAGTCAACTAATATTCCAGGCTTTAAAATCAACTTTAATTTCTTATTGAAAATCATCTTTTTTATTATTATTCTTTTTAGACTAAATCTCAAAAATAACTCTGAATACGTGCAATGAGATCAAATTGTTATCCGAGAGTAACAATTTGAGACTAAATTGAAACATGAAGAAAAATAAAAGAAAGAATCAAATTCTTTAAAAATAAAAGAGAAATAAAAGGAAATAAAATACTCTTTATATTTGATCCTGAGATCAGAATCAGTTGAGGCCTATTGTTACACAGTTTCCTTAAGACAAAATTTTGACCACTTATTGGTGCTCGAGATCCTTTGGTCGTGTGTCTCCGAGGATATAACAACTAGATAATCAGCTACAGTAACACAACTGTAGAAATCACGAACTTTCCTTGCTTTTGACTATCTCCGGAAAAACTAAGGGAAAAAAATATTTTTTGAGAATGAGAGAAAATATATTCAAGAGAAAAAAACTTCTTGAATTATGAGCTAAGAAAAAACTGAGAGATTTGCTCAATTTCTATTGGGAAATTTCGAGAGAGTTTAACTCTAATTAGAACTCTTTTAATATTTAAATTTAAACAGATAATAATATCTTTTAAATTTAAAATATTAATCAGATATACACTCCTTTTATTATTCAAATTAAATAAATATTAATTTACTTCGAAATATACAAAAGTATATAATTATTTTTAATATTCAAAGTTAAAAAGATAATAAATACCTTTTTAAATTGACATATTCAAAGAGTAATTATCCTACTAATATTTAAATTAAATAATATTTTTTAATTTACAATATTTAAAAATACTCTCAATTTAATATAAATATTAAATCCATCAAATTAATTCTCCCTTTTATCCGACACAAATG